AATAGAATTTTAGGGGTAAGCCGTTTCAGAGGCAAAAAGTTGAGAGAGCGTTTCTGGGCCAGGGAGCCGGATGGTGCTGGCAGGAGAGTGGTAGCCCAGTTTGGGGGTCCTGCCAGTCTTTTTATGGGGCTTCCCACCTCACCACCTCCAGGACTGGGGGAAGTTAGCCCTGGGCTGTTTAAGCCGCCGCTGCGGTGGTAGTTTCATGTATAATCCCCGGGGACTAAGCCACCGTGTGACCTCGAAGAACTCCTGCAACTTCTCGGAGCCTCGTTTTCGGGACGTCCAGGAGAATCACAGAAGGTGCGTCTCAGCAGGGCTTCTCTCCGGGGGGGACGGCTCTCAGAATCAGAGGCTGAGAAAAAGGAAGACCCATCACCTCCAAGAGATCCTGCTGAGGCCGGCCCCTGCCCAGCGAGGATGGGGCTCACTGCTGCTTCCTCATTTCAGTTCAAGGCAGCAGTTGTGCTTTAAGCACCTAGAACGTGGGAGGATGACCAGGAGAAGCGGGAAGCTCTGCTCCTGGGGAGGAGGCTGGGAGGCTGAGCAGAGCTGGGCGGGCGTCCCTGACGGAGAGCACACAGCCACTGGGCCCCACGCGCTCCAGGGGTAACTGCTGGCCTGTCGTCTCCAAGCAGCAGCTCCTCGTCCTCACGCTCCCCTGCGAGGTTGGCACTGTCATTGTCTCCACGCAACAGAGGAGAAACCCAGCACTCGGAATGTACTGAAGGCCTCCCTGTGCCCTACAGACACACTCCCACCTGCTGTGCCCAGAGGCTGAGCTCAGTGACCCCATCCGTGGTTCTCTGACTTTGGCTTCTACTCGGGTTTGGCCGATGGACAGCACAGGGAGGACGGAGGTTGGGCAGTTAGTCCCCTGGGCCCTCCCTGGGGGTGACTGGGGGCTGCAGTGCCCACTCCTGCCTTCCTCCAGCCCTTCAGTCCAGCGGGAACTCCAGTGGTGGCAGCCCCAGGGGACAGCACCACCACCACATCTTTGCAGGTTGGCCCTTTGTCACACTCTCCCCAGACCCAGCTTTAGAACATGTGTCCTGCCAGCTCCTGACTTGCCCAGGGTGACGCAGTTGATCACTGGTGGCCACAGAGTCCTGCCCATAGCCATTGGGGGTCCTGTCTGCAGGTGCCTAGTGGGGAGGAGACACATGAGATGAGGGCAGTCAGGGAGGGCTTCTCGGGGAAGGAGGCGTTGATGAGGGAGGCCTTTGAGGCTGGATAGGAGTTTGACTGGGAGACATGGTTGGAGATGTTAGTGGGTGTGTTTGTTTCCTGAAGCTGCTATAACAAATTCCCATGAGCTGGATGGGTTAAAACAAACGTGTTCCCTCACAGCCGGGCCAGAGGTCTGAAATCAAGGTGAAGTCAAGGCAGGGCTGTGCTGCCTCCAGAGGCTCTGGGACCCTTCCCTGCCGCTCCCCATTTCTGGTGGCTCCAGGGGTCCGTGTCTTCGTCTCTGTCTCCATCGTCACGGGGCTGTCTTTCCTCGTCTCTGTATGTTGTTGGATTTAGGGCCTGCCCTAATCCAGGAAGACTTCATCTTACCTACATCTGCAAAGACTTTCTTTCCAAAAAGTGGTCCACCCTGAAGTTCTGGACAGACAGGCTTTCGAGGGATGTTATTCAGCCCAGGACATGTGGGGCGTGTAAAGGGATGGGGGTCCCGCTGGAGGGAGGGGTGGGCGGGGGTGGGAGGCGGGAAGTCACAGGTGTGCTGAGTAGGGGAACAGGGTCACTAGTCGGCGAGTTAGCCTGAGGTAGAAAACCTGACCGCCAAGCGCTAACGAGGGCTGAACTGTCCACTGCTGGTAGGAAGGCAGGATGGTAGCGCCACTCTGGGAAAGGGAGTGGCCGTTTCCTACAAAGCATGCACCTGCCGTATGACCTAGCAATCCTTCACTCAAAAGACAGGACGACTTACACCCCTCCTCCTCCAGAGATTCATGCAAGGGTGTCCCAGTAGTCAGGTTGGGGCAACAGCCCAGCTGTCCGTCAGCAGGTGAATGGATAATCCAAGGTCCAACGTCAGGGGATGGACAGGGACAAGGCGCTGCGGATGCACCTCCAAGTGCCCGGAGGCACGAGCCAGGCCCCCGAGAGCGCTAGCGGTGCTGCTCGGCTTTCCTGCGATCCAGAAGGCAGCCAGGCTGATAGCAAGCACAGGC